CCCTACACTGGTATCTTCCGATGTGACTAGATACGAAGATGAAGACCAAGGAAATTTGAGGGGACCTCCCTGCCTTTAAAGAGCCAGATGTATTTGTAGCCTAACAGGTTACTGCAGCACCTCTAGATAATCCTGTGCCCTGCATCTGCTCTGAGCACACCAAAGTGGTTTGACTTGGCTTACCCCAGTGAGAGGGTCCAAGTGCAGGTTCCAGCTGGGCAGTAACTTGTTACACTGCATAAATAGGCTGGGAGTCTCAATCTTGAGCTGGGGAAAAGAGAATTATAGGTGCCTGCCTGTCGTTTTCCATCGAGCTGGTTCTGGATGGGGTGGGCTCTGGCGTGGGTCAGTCACGTTGCTGAGAAGTTACTGCTGTGAGCTGAAGGGCTGTGCCACGTGTGAAGTGGGGCTGTGTTCACCCATGCCTTTGCTGTGGCACATGGGTGCATGGGATCCCCCAGCCCATCCCATGTCAGTGCATGGGGTCCCCCAGCCCATCCCGTGTGGGTGCACGGGGTAACCCATCCCATCCTGTGTGGGTGTATGGGATACCCCAGCCTGTCCTGTGTGGGTGCATGGGGTACCCCAGCTCATCCCATGTGGGTGCACAAGATATCCCAACCCATCCCATGTGAGTGCATGGGGTACCCCAACTGTTGCGTGTGGATTCACGAGGTGACCTCAGCCCATCCTACCTGGCTTTGGGCACATCATTAACATCCACACCCAGGGAGCGGTTTGTGGATGGGGCTGCTGGAAAGCAGGACAGACAGAGGCTTGTGATGGAGAGGTGGCGAATGCCTGCAGGGTATTGCTGGGTGCAAGAGGGGTTTTAGTCTGGATGCTTGGCTGTGCCATCAGGGCAGCAGTGTTTGCCCCATCCCTGGGACCAATCCCCCTCTGAACACCCCTGCAGCCCTCTGCCACGTCTCATTAACCTGCTGCTACATCTCCACCGAGCCAAACACACATTTTTGGGGTTACTCAAGTCCTAATTACTGTTTATATTGCTGCATGTGTCAGCACCCGGAGCCGGGAGCAGGTACTTCACTGCTCCCTGCCCTCAGCAGTGCCCTGCAATCTGCAGAGGTGCTAATTACACTCTGCTAACGATGACCATGCAGATATAAAATACCCACAAGAAGGTGGCTGATTCAGCACTGGGTCCTTCTTCAGCTCCCAGCCCTGGTGAGGCTGAGTTCCCCAGTATCCCCCAGTACCCCCCACTTCCCCACAGCCTTCACATGCTTCTTGCACGCTGTGGCAGTGTGCTCACCTCACAGCTCGCAGCACTCCCACAGCCACCCATATTTAAATAAACACTTTTTTATTTGACCTACAAATACCATTGGGAGACAGAGACACCCCCCCTCCCATGTGACGTGAATTAATTTGTCTGGGATGGAGGAGATGTGAAATGCTTGAGCAGAATTAATCGCTGCAGGGCACTTGCAGGAGATGAAATGAGAAACTTGGGGTCAGTCGTCTGAGTCTGTTTAACTCAGTTCCCGGCGGCCGTCCCTCCGCTCCCTGACACACATCCCCATCCCTTTACAAAGGAGAAATGAGCTCGTGAGAGATGTCACCTCTAGAAATGCCGGGATTCTTCCACGTGGTATTTAGGGCAGCATCATTTCTGTCTCATAACAGCGTCTGAGGAGCCCCAGGACCCCTTTTTTTTCCTGGTGCTCTGCTCCGTTTTAAGACTCCATCTCATCCCTGCTTTACTTACTGAAAATGCAGCTGTAATCACTAACTGCCTCCAGATTGAGCGCCTGGCTTTGCAGTCGTGCAACATCTTCTAATGGGTGAGGAGCGGGGAGGTTCCATCGTGGTGCCTGTTGGGTTTATTTTATAAGCTGCCAGTGACAGAGCTGAAGAAGAAATTATCTCTGAGCTGGTTTTAGCCTGTGAATCCCAGAGTTTCTTGAAACCCAGCTCTACTGAGCCTGTGGTTTGACCGTGGATGACAGTGCATCGGAAGATACTAGCCCTGGACCACGCAGAGCCACATCTTCTGCTCCATCCTTTCTTTTGGGCACGTGCACATCCATGAGGTTGTTGGCTGCGGGCGCTGGGCTGTGTTACCGAGGCTGGAGGAGAAGTTGTGCTCCCTCCTGGTCATGGCAGCCTCGGTGCATGCGGTCCCATGGGTCCGAGCCCTGGTAGCGGTGGTTTGCCTGCAGCAAAGGGCTTGGGGAGCTGCTTTCCAGCTCTTCCCACTGGTAGAAAGCTCGTGGAGGCTGTGCTGGAGGCTGGAGCCTGGGGATGCTGTGGTTGTGCTGGAGTCAGCCTGAGCAGCAGGGCTGTGCCTCGGGAGGCATCTCAAGGGCTTCTGATAGCGCAGAGGGTTCAGCAAATGCCTGCCACTCCCTGGGGCCAGGCTTCCTCTGCAGACTTAGCATACTGCTATTTTCCTTTTTAATTTTGATCTGCATGTTACAAGGCTGGCATGTCTGCGTTTAATAAGCCGATACTGCATTATGGATTATCCATAGGTTGGAAACGGTGTTGCCTTCCCTATTAACTTTCCCTGCTTGATGTCTCCCCTCTCAACCCACTGCCCTCTAACTCAGCACTAAAAATCATGCCTTGCTTGAGAAATCAGCATTTTCAGTGACCTCCGCGGTGTGTTGAATAACTCCTGCTCTCCTTGCTGTACCGACAACTGCACATACGGCGTGCAGCCCCTATGCCAGAGAGATCTGTGCCTTCAGTGCAGATAGTGGCACGGAGAAGTTTTTGACCCGTTAATGCCCCGACTTGCCTCGAGGAAAACCCTTCCCCCTGTTACCCAAGACCTCCTGGAGCTGCTCTGTGCTTCTCCGCCCTGCAGCTCTGGAGCCAGCCTGACTTTGGTGGGACCGGTGGCCTCCTCCCCGCGAGCACGTGAGGATGGCTGCATCAACCGGCGTGTGTGCATGGAGCCCTGCAGCCGGGGAGGTGGGCGGCGAGCCCACCAGCGGGCACTGGAGGAGCTTTTGAGGCCTTTTCCCCACCTGGGAGGATGATTTGGGGTCGCTGCCTCAGCCGCAGGCTGCTGCTGGGTTGTGGTTGCCGGCCCTGGGGCGGCTGCTGAGGAGGAGCGAGGTCGGGATCGGCTCTCGGGGGGCCAGGGGATGCCCAGGAGCAGCCGGGGCTGCTTGCACCAAGGCTTTGCACACCAGCGTGGCCCCGGGGAAGGGCAGCAGTGGCTCCTGAGCCCGAGAGGCGACGGG